ATACATACATACATACATACATACATACATACATACATACATACATATATTATATATATATATCATGCATGTCACAACGTATGTCCAAACACCCAGGCTACGCGGCTCCGGTCGCGGCTCCTGGGACGCGTCCAGGTCTGCCAGGTCGGCCGGGTGTCCCACGCGGGTGGTGGAGTTGAGCTCCGAGAGGTCCAAATCCGCCTGAGACCGGTCCCGGTCCCGGAAAATTCAGATGGAAACTCATGGGAGACGTGAGGTGATGAGGTGGGGTGGTGAATTGTGTGCGCTGGGTCCTGGGGAAGGACAAAAAAAAAAGGTTAGTAACTAGAGCTGAAAGCGATCTGTTGAATTGTGGTATTCGGAGCCAGGATTTGTGCACCCTTCGTGCGGGTGACGCGATCGAAAGCTGAGAGCGGGCCGGAAGCTCCATTGTGAAAGTTTAAAGAGCATGGGGACGGTCTACATATGGCAAATGAACGCGACTCCTATGCCGGCAGAATCTTCCACTACACTACACTTTACTTCTTGTTGCATCTTGTTGCTAGGTTATCCTCCCCTTTCGAACAAGATCCTCCGACACTAAAGACAAATGAGTGACACAGCGGATGCGTTCTTGGACCACCAGGGTCTCAAGGCGTTGCAGGGTGAGCAGCCGCGGCTGGATGTTGCCAGACAGGAGGCCTGGAAGCAACGGCTGTTGTGAAGATGTGACTCCAACAGAGCGGGGAGCCAAAAGCCAACACCAAGCCCCAAGGTACAAACAAATGGTTTCATCATGTTTCATAGCTCTTCTATGATGCCGTTCCTTCCCATTCGCAGGTGGTGCATGACTCCCCAAGGCTCCCCTTGTCATTTCTGTGAGAAGTTGTCAGACTTAAGGTGCCTGGGATGTTGAGGTGCTTGGCTTCACTGTTCATGTCACAATGGTGCCACCAAAAGAACCACCCCTCTATGCAGGAGGCCTAACTGCGTGACAGCCATGCGTGACACATGTTTCATTCGCCACTGTGGCGTCGGCCCATTCCTGCATCCGCAGCCTCGGTGTGAGCAAATCTCCAGCTCCAACTGCTCACAGGCACCCATGGCATGGCTGGATTGACAAGCTCTAAGAACCCAGTTTGGAGGTCAGATCTGATCTGTCCTTTGGAGGACTCAAAGTTCCTTTGAATGGCCGGACATGCTGCAAAGGGCGGCATGAAGAGTCACGCAGGCAAAGGCCAACCTTCCAGAATACAGTGCAAGTGCAAATCCTCTGGCTGATCAAGCAACCCTTGAAATACGATCAAAGCACATGCCGGGACCCTATACCAGGTTTCTCTACCAATTAAGTTTGACAGCATTCATCAGTTTTCTGTGGTCCGAATTTCGGGGCTAGGTGAGTCCTCCACCCCCCGCATTTCCAAGAGACACTCGTAGAATCTCATAGCGTCTCACATCCGCGACAACGCTTCAGCCGGCTCCTTGACATTGAAACTTTCAACCCTTCCGTTGAAAGCTGCCTGCATAGGCTTCATGACTCATCGGGCTGGGAACACCACACGACGGTTCGGACTGCTTTTCGTGGACGCCAGCAACACTGGCCAAGTGAGCCCAATTGAACCTCTTCGTCTCAAAAAGCCCGGACTTATAATTATACCATATATGAGACGAAGTATGACCATATTATCATGATATATAATATATAGTGCTCATGATGTGAGATATGACCATACATGCAATATCATACAATAATTAGACTTAAATTAGATGCTTGGGCTCTGACAAGGACGTGCCGCTTGAACTGAGCTGGCAAGGGTTTGGTCAGGAACAAAGTAAAGTAGTCTGCCTGGTTGTAAGCAATCTCCGGGCAAGCATTCACAACGAGGTACTTCCTTGGTTGAGCAGTCAACAGTCTACACGGACCTACCAGCAGTCCACACTGCCTGAACCCAACAGCGTGGGGCAAACACCAAGGTTGTCTGAACACGCAATCCGAATCTTGCGCTGCAGCATGCGATCCTCCTGATGGTTACTACATTGCATTCTGTTATATGGACTAGAAACTGCGCTTTTCAAGTTTTCCATTGTACTTCATCATGCTTCCTATCTATACATTCATCAAATCATCGTCTAATATCGTCTAATTGTAAATACCCCTGTATCTTGTTCCGTTCTCGTCCATCACATGCCCCAAAAGCTCCCTTCCTCGTTCGGAGACGGCCGCCCTCTTCGGATTCCCGACCCTTGGTGGAAGGTCTCGAAGAAGCGGACCACTTCGGGGAGAGGGTTCCGGTAGAACTTCATCCTGAGCGGGAAAAACACCAGGAAAAGCACCAGGCCTACCACCTCTTTGAAGGTGTTTTTGTTTGGATTTGTTTGGTACTGCTATGTACTGCCGTTGTGCTGCTCGGGGGGGGAAATGAAGGAGGCCAATGTGAATCAATGGGCCAAGCGCTGTAGTGAATCAAAAGAAGCAAATGCGACGGGAGAAAGGACAACACGTGCATTTTCCATCTCGCAGCGAGGGCCGCGGATCAAGAAAAACAGTGCCATGGCATAATCCACTTGCGGGAAAAATGCCGAATCATTTGCAGTCTGAATTCCAACTGTGCTTTGCTTAGGCTCTATCTTTTGGATTCTTTTGGACTTTCAGCCATGCGGCATGCCCGTCTCATGCGTTCAAAAGTGAGTTCGGAGATTCTCCGAAAACTGGCCACTCAGCACTGGCCACAGGTCCGCCGGCAAAACCACAACATCCACTCCGGGTTGCTTTCGCATTCACCGTGTGAGGCAAAGTCTTGGCACAAGTCGTTCAAGTCCTGGCACTCATCCCATGGCGTCAGCACTTCGCAAAGCCAACCAGGGTGTTCAGAACACCGACCTTCTGGCTGGCATTGGGCATAGTGCTCATCCTTCCTGTAGCACCGGTCCGTGGGTGCACAACACCTGCGACTCGTGCATTCGGACCATGTTGGAGCGTTGTGGCAGTCAGGCACCCCGCTGCCTGCAGGGTGAGGCAGGTGAAAGAACCTGTTTATATATTTCTGCGAAAATGAACACATCTCCGTGAAGCGTTTGCATTCTACCTCCTCCATCGGCACCTGCAGGTTCAGTCTTTGTCATCTTATGTACAGTGTTGTGGCCGTGCAGACTCGAGATTGCTGAATGACCGCAAGTTGAGCACCGTGATGCACTGTGGAAGTGCGCTGTGATCTGCCCTTGTCCGCTAGTCTTCTGGAACACTTGGCGAATTGCAAAAAGTTGTATCATGTGGTATCTTCTTCCAAATGTCCCAAAATCTCTCTTAAGAATTTGCCCCTGACTTCATCTTAAAATTGATAATGAAACATGATGAAACCGCCCAACTGCCTGCTCGCAGACTTGTCACGTTCTTGGAAGCGGCGACCACGGCGAACCAAAGGCTCAGAGCCGATCGCAACGCCATTGCTCGAAGATAGGGCGAGCCGAGCTTTGTGGCAAAGCTTGGACAAGGGTGCTGGAACAGTGAGTGAATCAGCTACCACCCTGATCACTATGCTTCTGTCTGTCTGGGGGGCCATGTGCGCCGAAAAGGTTTGGAAGCTTGGAAGCTTGGCAGCTCACTACGCTCCTCACCGCGCGACCTCAAAACCCCTCTGCGGCAAAGCTGCGGGCGGTTGGCAAGGTTTCAAGGTGATTCAACGCGTTCTGGCACCCTTTAACTGAATAGCAACTGAAGTGACATGCCACATGGAAGGGAGGGAAGACATCCTGCACATCTAAGTCTCGAACACCCTGGGATAGACGGTGTGTTCGAGATTGTTCGAGGATTTACTTCTGGAACAGGCTCGAGTGGGCGAACAAGCGCGTAGCACATGTTCTCAGGCTCTGAGGGTCACACAAGCACCCAGCTGCCGGCACGCTCATGCTGATCAATCTGGGCCTATCACGCCGATCATGCCGCATCGTCCAGTCTTCCAGCATGGAGCACGCGTTGTTGAGCTCGGGGCGTGATGTAGACCAGGTCCAAGTCAAAGTCATGTTCCAAGGACACGAAGCGCCGCTTGTTTTCCCCCGTGATCCGTCGCCTCAGCGATGAAGCAACACGTCGCATCCGGAAGGGCGGATTGATATATAGGCTGATTGAACAAATTGCAGCTGAGGCTGGGGCATCCGGTTCCCTGGCCGGGAGAGGTGCAGGGAAATCTAAATGAAACATTGAACCATTGCCAATTCCAAGGTGTTGTGAGCAAATGAAAGGATTGCAATGCTCACTTTGAGTGCTTGATGCAGCTGAGGTGCAGCAACGCGGAAACGTGCGGCTCACCACGAAGGCGATGCGAATGATCCGAAGAATCCTCCGTGGTGACTCTGTGACTCATCGAAGTGAAAAATACAGCCGGGGCATGGAGGGACTCTCAAGCGTCTCTATCAATATATGTAACTACTCCATTGGCTTACGATGACTATCGAGCGTCTTGCCTGGTCACACAGCTCACTGCAAGGAAACCTCTTCTGTATGTTGAGTCTTTCCATGGCATGGGCCTCCCATGTTTGGTGCTTTCATTCTGTTCATTGACTGTTCTTCTCACTGGCGAATCGACGGTGCCTGAAGACGCGCAACAGCCGCAGGAAGCGAAACGGCCCTGGGCGATTCTTACCCACCTAGTTTGGTATCTCAAGGCCTATCCTTAGTAGCAAGAATTTACTAGTAGCTTCTTGTTGCTAGTAGTCATGCACTTGTTATTAGTAGAAAGAAGCTACTAGCCAAATCTCAACCAATTCCCATCAGGCAAGCCATAGGTGACGTCAAAAAGGTGTGGCGCACCAACCCAGCTCAACGCCAATATTGAAGCAACAAAAGATACGAAGGACAACGTACAGTATGAATACATGCGACCATGAAACGTAGCCCGGTCCCAGACTCAGGAAAGCCAATATGATTGCATATGATTACTACCAAGTCCTAATACTGTAATGTGAACGCACAAGTATACATATACATATATATATACAGTACACATATATTCATAGTTAGTTATAATCTTACTCTATCTCGATGTTGGCACATAGCTAATTTGGCATCTCCAGTCTAGAGCCTGTCTAGGAAGCACAGTTGCAACTGGTGGCCGTGTTTGCCTTAGAATCACCGGAAAACCCAGGGGGCTGCTGTCTGGAGCGAGCGCGGCATGAGGCCTCACTAGGGTTTGTCTGGAGGACTCGAGCCTTGGGCCTTGAGCCCAAACCCGCCGGGAAAATGTTCCACGCCACCACCCAAATCTGCTGCATCATGCTGCATCTACCAACCATTAGTATCTCCTGGCATCGCCACTAGTAACAAAAGGCTACTAGTAGCAAAGACGCTGTTAGGTGGAGGCCATCGCTACTAGAAGCAAGAAGCTACTAGGGGTCCTGGCATCGCCTAGGAGCGATCGGACGCTACGAACGGGGCTCCTGGCCCTACTAGTAGGAGCATCCTTACTAGTAACAAGAGGCTACTAGTCTATTAGTCGCTTCTAGTAACAAGTGCCTTACTACTAGGAACAAGTGCATCGCTTCTAGTAACAAGAGGCTTATAGCCAGTCACTTCACCGGAACTTCACCCCTTCGGCCGCCCGGCCGGTGCCGCCCGCCGACTCCGTGACCACGGCCACGGCGTTGGCCACGGTCAGGAGGACGATGAAGGCGTCGAAGCTGGGCGATCGAATCCAAACGATACCTTTGGAGGGTATCATACCAATACATTCAATACATACCGTCATACCGTCCCAATACCACCTACAAATATTCCGGTGAAACCTGGTGAAGGTGGGGAGGTATTCGCAACTCATCCAAACTCAGTGTACAGGCTATACGATGACTTATGGCTGGTGGTATGAAACGATCGCCGGATTATCCCTACTGTCGGTTCCTACTGGGACGAAGAGGGTTGAAGAGTCTGGGATGGACACGACCATTCCGACTTTAGCATGTTTTCTTGAAGAGCCTGTGGCACCAACACAGTCATGAGGCGCAGGTGAGAAATCCTCTAACATGTCAATGACATTTGCAGAAGGGGATGAAATTTAGCCGTGGGAGCTTAGGAAAACAAGTTTTCGAAGATCAAGTGGTTCCGAGTTTTGCCGAGGACATGTCAGTCTGCCAACTGTGAAGCAGTGCAAACGGTCCAACAACGCCACAAAATAAAGCTGATATGTCTGATAAAACCCATGCTTGGCCAAAGCTTTGACGTGTGATTTCATGTGTTTCGTACCAGCTCTATTAAAGTATATACTATCCCTTTGCATTGCTGGCGATGACTGTGCAACTTGTGTCTTATTACTCTAGACCTACCGGAGTCTCTTTGCCTTTGCACAGTGAAACTTCTGCAAGCTCAGCTTCAGGCAGATTCCACCATTTGGTCATGAACACCTGCAGTTTCAGCCGTGAATTGTGCAATCTCTTACACCTCCGCTGGTCAGGGGTTAGAAGTCCGGCGATGATGCTTCAAGCTTCTTCAGACGAGTCCGTAACGTCTTGGGGTGTCTAATGCCGCTTTCCATGAAGCCAATTCAGCGTTCGCGGTGCCTTTGGCCCAAAACCAAAAATCCGCAAGGCGACATCTGCAAGGTACACCAGTGACCTAGGCACCGAGTGTGTCTTGCCAAAGGGTCCTGGTACACTTCTTCACCCAGCAGCTGTACATGTCAAGGCTTTGACATTGAGGCAGCTGAGCTCAGCACAAGAAAACCATCTTCAAGGCCTGACTCTTGCTCTTAGATGAGGCACATTGATGCCCATTCAGCAAGCATCACTGCTAGCTAGAATCAAAGGACTCTCCAACAAGCGGCTAAAAACCAAAAAGTCAGCCTTTGCCCCTTTTGCCACGGCTTTCCCCGAAGATCTGACGGTCCCAGGAATAGAATTAGTTCCAGGTCTCCAGGCATGGAAGACCGACGGCTCCCCTCCAGCCGCCCAGAACTCTCCGACGCCGCGGGCGACCACCGGGCCGATGAGCGCCGCGGCGTCCACCGCCTTGGACGCTCGGCAACCAAAGGGCGCGCGGTGCGTCAAACTCCACCCAGTACTCCACCCTAGTAGCGATGGCCTCCAACCCAATCGCGTCAATGTAGAAAACCCCCAACTGAAGAGCGCTACGGAACGGCCACCGTGGAGGGAACTGGTTGCGATCTGGGATGGTGGTATGGGTCTGGGGCAAAGGTGTGAGATCGCGTGAGATCGCGCTGCCAGTGTTGATCGAACATGGTGAACCTCCAAAATGATTGTCACACACATAGAAAGATAGGAAGAAAGACAGAAAGGTAGAGACTATGGAGATGGTTAATATGAGAGAGAGAGAGAGTGAAAAAGAAAAGAAAGAAAGAGAGAAAGAGAGACAGGTCGACAAACAAACAAACAAACAAACAAACAGGACTGGGGAGCACAAACAAAAATCCCCTACCCGCTTCCAAATGAGTTGATCCTCAATCTGCCGCCTCCCACTTTCTTCAGTCCTGGTCAAGTTGTTCAAGAGTCTTGATTCAAGAGCACCAAAGTGGGTCCATGGCCACAGGTGCTGGGGGATCCACATCCACCATCATCCACCATCATCCACCACCACCTCTCAAGGACCTGAGGCATTTGCAATCGCGAAGAGCTGTAGAAGCACCCATGGCCTCAGCATCCAAAGCAACTGAAAGACGTCATCGAGTCATCAAGTCTTTAGTTTGGGCTCTGTTGAGCTCTGTGGAGTGAAGGCCCTCCTTGAGGTGCTTGAGGCCCTGCACCTGTCCAAACGCCTAAGCTCCAGGCCAGGACACCACGAAACGCAAGGCCTTCTCTCGCGAAGTGCCAGGTTGGCGAGAATCGAAGCCACCCGCCATGTACATCCTGGGGTGCCCAGGCCCAGGACCCAACAAATGCACTTCCTGAAACCTCCAGTTTGGAGTCACCATCGGAGCCCCATGATGCTGGCAACAACACAAGGAAGGGGCAAGCTCAACCCAAGCTGCACAGGCAACCTCACCACGAGGTCTTTCCAGTCTGATGGTTGGCTGCTATGCAGTAGAGAGATTCCAGTACTGGAAAATCGGTGAGCATTTTCTTCAGCACAAAAGCCATGGAACCCCACCACTTGCTGTTGAAGGCTGTGAGTTCCAAACCTCTCACAGCCAATCCAATCCGGGTGAAGCCTGGGAAATGCACGGGTTGGGTGAGGCACAAATGCACCTACTACCTGGGCAGCTCCAGGCTTCAGTATCCCGAACGTTGTCCCGCGAGCCCGCGAGCTGAGGCGGCCAAGCAGCTTCATGAGATTCGCTCGTGCTTCTCGGCCATCAAGGTTATCCTTGCACGAAGCTGCTTGGTTCAGGGCCTTCAGGGTCCATGGGGCTGCACCCCAAAGACCTCCCACAACTTCCTTGAACCCACTGCACCACTTGGAGGAAACTGAGTACAACCCCACAAACTACACCAAAAACAAGAGTTGCCAGACCAAAAAAAAGACATTTTATATATATATATATACATAAGCTTCATTAAAAGTCTCATGCATCCCTTTATCAGCCCAAACAGCCTGCCCCTCTATCAGCCGTCGTCTCTCCTGTGTGACACGCCAATGCTCGGGCGTGTCGCTGGAAAAAAAACGCGGTTCCAGCCGTGCGGCCGTGAGCCTAGCGAGCGGCGGGCTGACCTTTCCTTTCTTCGACCTTCGAGTTGAACCGTTTGGGCCTCTTCCCTGTCCAGCGAGCGACCATCGATGGACCCAAATAAGTGACTGTCACATTATATTCTGAAAACAGGTGAACACCCAAGTGCAAACACGAGTGAAAAAAGCGACCGCTGCTCTTTTCCTCATAGCTTGAGCCATGGGCGTCAGGTCGTGCCCATGCGATCAGGAACGAACCGGCAGGATTGGAAGGCCAACAGGTTGGAACCGCGATCAACCCTCTTCAACATACTCAAACTCACACCCATCTTTCTTTTTGGCCTTCAATCCCTCCGATGGGTTCAGACTTCCTCGGCCATCATCAGCCGCTGCAAGCCGGCATGTTTCATGCCCTTCGTGAGAGGATCTGCCAGCATCTTGTCCGTGCTGGTCCAAGTGAGCTTGGTGCTCCCATCGCTCGGCAACCGATCCGTCGCCAGCGGATCTCCCACTTCTTCTCCTGGAAGGCGCCACAGGGTTTGGCGCAAGCCACAAAGGTCGATAGCCAGACGCTTGTCTGACACGACGTGCAAGCCAGCTTGATTGCCGTGGTCGTGCAACGAACGGCAGTCCGTCAGCCATTCCACCAACACTCCATCCATCGCAGACACTTGCCAGTGAGGTTGTCCACAATGAGGATGGCGGAGACCATGTAGCACAAACCTTAGGCGCTCTTCCTCGCTCCCTGCAAGAAGGCTGAGAGCTTCTGATTGAAGCGTGGATCGGCAGACCCGCTTCAGCACGGTGCTGTGCCACTCGATCAAAGCCAGTCGGCCTGTCTTGCTCTCAAAGAAGCTCCGGTCAGCGAGGCATAGGAGACGTCCACTTTGGCTTCGATGAGCCATTCTGGCACCTGAAGAACTGGCCTCATGGTCGGCAGCATGACTGGCATCTTGAATTGCCAAAATCATCACATTCTCAAACTTGAAGGCGCCGACGGGGTAAGCCAGACCAGCTTCCTTAGTCTTTTGTGCCAGGGCCACAATTGAATTGGCATACTTGACGTCCTCATAGGTGGCAGAGCTCACGCTCATCTGCATCTTGCAAACGGCGTATGCCAGGTCAGGGCGGCATACCCTTGACAACCAAGCCAAGCTTCCAATGATGCTGCGAAGCTGCCCACGGACTCCTTCAGAGACTGGTTGTTCTGCATGACGCTTCTGCTCATGGGTCAGCCAGATCGGGCGAACACGATCGATCAAGTTGTCACACTTGACGTAGATCTTCTCAGCATCACGGGAGATGTTCCTGCCACAGTAGCGGAACTCATCACACTTGATCTTGCCGGACTTGTAGTGGTCGCAGACCTCTTTCATGCGAGCTTCAACCAAAGTTCCACCCGTCCATAGGAGGTCATCAACGTGGGTGATCACGATGCCCGCAAGAACGCCCTCCTTCTCCAAGAGCGTGTATGCTCCAGGTTCAAAGAGCACAGGAAGGAAGCCCTTCTTCTTGAGAGTGCCATCCAGATTCTTCCACCAACCACGTGGGGTGTCTCGAGTGCCATAGACGGTGGATGAGACGATGTAGTACATGTTGGGATCAACACCAGGCACTCCATCCTTTGGCAAGCTGAGGATGAGAGTTCGGTCCAGCTTGCTGCCCTGCAAGAAAGCAGCTGAGATGTCGCCAGACCAAAGCTTAGTGTTGCGGCAGGCAGCCAAAGTCAAAACCAGTGAGATCATCGTTTGACTGCAGGTAGGCGAGTCACATCTCATCAGCGAGCTATCTTCAAGGTCGCCACGAACCACAAGGCGCGACTTCAGCTTTTCTGGCTCGCCAATCTCGCTCTTGTCAACATCTACCCACCTCGTAGGGATGATCTTGAGGTTGGGATTGTTGGCCATCATCTGCACAACTTCCTCCTCCGTCACCAGTCGACCATCGCTGTAGAATTTCCAGTTGTGCCATTCTTTCTCTCTGGTGGCGATCAACTTCTTTTGCATTTCTGGCTCTTCCTTGGAGAAGTTCAGCTCGCGGCCAGCTCCGACTTTCTTCTGAGTCTTCTTCTTGTACTTCCGCTCCGTCTTGGTGGCGATGAAGCTATCGGAGGCTGATGGCTCACGGCGACGAAAAATGCCATCCAGGCGATCAGGACTCTGCCGAAGTGACTGAGTGAGAGGCGTCACTTCTTCATTGATGATCGGTGTAGTGCTTGGTCCTGCTGGATGTGTGGAGACACTTGTAGTCGGAGGAGTCTCCCATTCCGGTTGGCTGCTCATGAGCCTCGAGTCATAGGCTCAGCAGGCGGTGTCGTCACACCATCTTCATTGATCTCCATGTTCTCCAGCCCAGGAGGAGGTGCTGGAGGTTCATTGCGAGGTTCTACATGAGGTTGAGGCATCGATGAGGACGAAGGTGCGATAGTTTCTTCAGCACCCATCTCAACATCTCCAGGGTTAGCAGCCACTCCTGTCTCGCCTGTGTCTCTCGCTTCTTGGAAGTCCACAAAAGGGACCTGTTCACGAGGTCCGCCTCCTCCACCACCAAGGTTCAGGTCCTCGATGTAGTGATCGGCGACTTCCCTTCATTGGCCAAGACTCTAGCTGGGCCATACCGCTTGCCTTTCTTGCTGAAGCTCACCAAATCACCACAGCGGTAAGGGCCACGCATCGGCGTGCTCTTCCTCAACATAGCCTTTCGGATCTTCTGGCTGGTGTCCAGCTTGATGAAGGCTTCTTTTGCCCATTGGCGCACAAGCAACTGCCGGGTGAAGGTGTCTTGAGTTCCTTCTTCAGCATCCACAAGGCTCTGGTGCAAGCCAAGATGTCCTTCGGGATCTTGATTGGCAAGTGAGGTGATGTCCATGGGCTGAAAACCCATCACCCATTGCGAAGGCGAATAGCCATGCTGGTTCATGAAGAGGTTCTTGACTCTTGCAGCTTCTGAGCACAAAGCAGAGATGTCTTCTGCTCCTTGAAGTTGACGTTCATGGATGGCTCTTTTCATGATCTCCTTCAGAAGTCCTCCATGCCGTTCTCCAACTCCAAGTTGATGCGGTGCTCGAGCTCCGGTCTGTCGAATGACCGTTCCAAGCAAGGTCAAGAGGTGTGCTACCTTGCCTCGGTTGTGAACTCCTTGATCAGCAACAAAGTAGGTTGGGGCGCCTGCCCACGACAACCAGGCTTGGTTCAAAGCATCAGCACACACCTTAGAGCTTGGTGTTCCACCTCCTCCAACTCGAACTGCCACGTGGAAGTGTGTGGTCACGTCCACAAGCGACAAGACTGAGTGTCGATGGTGCTGGCAATCATGAATCTCAAACACATCAGCTGACAGCTCGTAGTTGAAGTGCATCTGAGAGGAAGGCCTAGGCTCCTTTGTCACACGCGGCTGTTCATCTTTCTGAAGCTCTTTGCACACCTGACACTGGAAGAACTTGACAGCGTCAATGACGTCCTTGTCAGCAGCTGAAGCCAAAAGCATTCTCCTCAAAGCTGTAGTCGAACAGTGTCCAGTCATAGTGTGCAATCGCCTTATCGCAAGCCGCTTCTCTTTTGGCAGCGTCAGCCAACCTCTTCTTCGCTTGTCCTCCTGCTCCATGACCAATCGGTCTTCTCTGTTCACAGGCACTGATTGCTCCAGGACAAGCTCTTCTCGCTCGATCTCACGAGCGTCAATGCGTCGCTTCTTCTGGAAGGGTGCAAGGTCTTGCTCTGAGTGCACAGCATCCATTTCACCCACTTCTTCATGGTTCTCGAAGATCTCCTCAACGGGAAAGGCTTGATGCAAAGTGCCATACAACAACTCTTCATAAGCTCCAAGGACGATGGCATGACAAAGCTCCTGCGGCCATTGTTCAGCTACTCGGGTGCGGTTGCTTCCTTCAAGAGGTTGATGATCATGAGAATGATCACATCGCCGGCAAAGATGTCGCTTCATGTAGTGCGAAGACAGCAACAGCCCGGTGCTCTTCTGGTGAGGTAGACCATTTTGTGGATCCTTGAGACCATACTGACACTGGTCGATCTTCACGACTTCAACAGGGTCTTGGGTCTCCTCATGATAAGGCCGTCCAAGGAGAAAATCCTCCATGCACTTGATCGTCCAAGCGGCACTTGTCCATGGATGCTCCATCATCACGTGCCTCCCTTTCCTCAAACGAGACTTGAAGACATCAATGAGCCACTTGAAGACAGGATACCATTTCTGACGCTCCACGTAGATGCGGCTCTCCAGATCGAAGCTCTTGCTGGCGTTAATGTTCTGCCAAGCCGACCATGGACCACATTTTGGACCTGCAATCAGAACGAAGGGGTCCATGTCATCAATGTAGCGGCCCACTGACTCTCGATTGGCAGGCTTGAGCAAGTCATGCAGGGGATCCAAGTTCACATCAATGGGTCTTCCAACTGGCAATCCCCATGAAGCGGCCAAAGCGGTCACCATCGCTGCGCCAGCAAATAACTCCATGAGAAAACACTTGCATCCAACTGGAAGCAGTCTTCCTGGCTTGCGAAGTCCTTGAGCGTGTCGTAGTGTGCCCCATAGTGCCAAATCTTCACGGTGCACATTCTGAGTGGACTCTTGCATCATCTTCCGCTGTCCGCGGGTCATCACCTTTCTTGGCGACTCAGCCAGGTTGACATAGTTCAGAGTGTCCTCTTCTTCAATCTGGGACTTGTCAATCTCAGTCTCATAGATCTCCTCAGTGCCAGAGCTGGTGCAGTTGGGCGAACTGGTCACATTCGAAGAAGGATATCCCTCATCCGAAGAAGCATTGCTCGGCGAAGTCACAGTGGTTTCGTTTGAGCTCATAGTGGATGAAGTCTCTGACATAGGCAACTCTGCATTGAGGGCCATGTCGGTCTCTGCCTCATTGGTTGGGATGAGTCTCACAGCTGGCAGTCCATCTATATCAACCAACTCCAAGAACTGCCCCATCTTCTTGCTGTAGACGGTGTGCTCATCCAAGTCGATCACCAGTCCCAAAGAGCGCTGTGCCTTGGTGCTCAAAAGCAACGGTGCATCGCTTCCGCCAAGCTCAGTGGAAGTGATCGTTCCAGAGGCAATCGTCCCGTCCGCGAGGGCGAAAAGAACGGGAATCTTTCTCAGGCCAATGACCTTCACATTTCCTCCAACTCCACGTACTCGACCTTGGTGAGGGAGCAGCTCATAGCTTTGACCCGTCAGCTTCATGTAGTTCTCAATCCATCCGGCACCGTGGCATGTGTTGTTGCATCCTGTGTCCAAGATGCACAGCAACTGATCTTCACATTTGGAGCCACTGAAAGCCATCATGGCGACTGACTGCCGGGTGGTGAGATACTTGGCAAACTCCAAGAGCTGAGGATGCTTGAGGTTCTTTCCCTTCACCTGTCCAAGGATGTAGGTGCAGTAGGAGTGCTCTGTCTCAGCAATCATCCTGAAGGTCTTGCCCTTTTGCTGACCGTGGTTCATGATCTCAGCATCCCACGCAACCAAATCTTCAGACAGCACATCACGAGGTCCAAGTGCTGGGTCACCTGGAGTGGAAGGTGCCGAACTTGTAGAAGCTCTTGCCGGAGTGTAGAACTCATAGCCAGCAGTTGTCCGTGGTGGAGTCGATGGCATAGGCCGTGAGGTAGGCACTCCATGAGAAGGCATCGACTGAGGGACATAGATCGTGTCCTTGCAGCGCTGGTAGATCACATCAAGAGTGTCTCCAGTGATCACGGCTCCAGTCTGTCGCTGGATGCTCAAAGTCAGCTGCATCAACTCGATGACCTTGGACGGAGGGTCATCCAAATACCACTCAGCAACTGCGCCAACTCGAAGAGGTGCAATCTCAGCGGCTCTTGCTCCACTCTCGCCAGGATTCTTGGAACCTGATGCAGTTTCACCACAATCCAAGCAGCGCCACTTCCATGTAGTTGCAGTGGTGCCCTGATAGTTCTTCCTGGCATGTGAGCAGGTGCTGACTTCTTTGGTCTCCATGGTCTTTCCGGCACTCCTTTTCTCAAGGTGAAGAACGAAGCCACAGTCCTTGCACTTGATGATGGACGGGTAGGCATTCGATCCGGCACGAGTGCGGTTGGCATGAGTGCAACTTCTCTGCTTCAATGTCGGGTCCTGCGGAGGTGGCTTCATCATGAAACGATTCAAGCCGTTGGGATCATCTTCACGAAGCATCTCCTGCACACGAGCTGCTTGAGATCCTGGTAGCGGAGGTACATCATCATGAAGCGCTAAGCCCGACTGTGGCATCATACTCGGTGGTGCTAAGCCCGACTGTGAGGGCATACTCGGCAAGCCGGTCATACTTGATGGAACCGTCATACCCAAGAGTGATGGCATACTGGGCGCTGGAGATGCAAGACCAGGCATGGAAGGCAAAGTCCACGATGAGACACTCATCACTGAGGCGGTGTCACCATGGTCTTGAAGTGCGAGTTCATGAGCCTCCCAATCAGCATCTTCAGGCACCGGGTGCTGGTGTGCCTCTTGCTGCAATGCCATAGTCTGTTGCTGCTGCATCAACCGTGCTTGTTGAAGGGCCATGTCAAGCATCTGGTCAGCAGTCATCTCGTTCTGAGCTGCCACAATGGTGCCATCGCTCAAGCTCGAAGGCGGAGGAACAGTGCCATAGTTCGTGACCGCCATGTAGACCTGAGCTTCAAGGTCATAGGGCTCCTCTTGGTCCTCATCATACTCAGTCACGGAGAAGTAGACCACACGAGGCTTGTTGCCCTTGCCTTTCTTTCCACCGCTGGATGCCGTCGTGGTCGTTCCAGTCATAGCCGACGATGAAGATGACTTTCCACCTTTCTTACTGCCAGGATGCTTCGGGCAAGAGTAGTCGGTGCTCCAATGGCCAGACTGGCCACAGCGCCTGCAGGTCGTGCGCTTCTTGAGGTCCTCGAGAGCCCGACGCCGATCAGGTGTTCCTGAAGAACCTTTGCCCTTGCCCTTGTTGTGGTACCAGTAGTTGGATGAGCCTTTGCCTCCAAATCCACTGTGCCCCTGACTCTGGGCTTTGTTGTGCAGGAACATCGCTTCAGCTTCCAACTGAATCACTTCACAGGCATAGTCAACTGCCTCACTGTTGTTCACGTCCAGGCCTTCTTCAACCAAGGCGGCATAGGACTCCATGGCATAGTCCACCTCTGAGTTGGGTGGCTCATAGGCATCAACTTCTTCAGGCACACCAGTGTAGTAGGAGGCGGGATCGTCATAGTCCTCGTAGCCTCCAAGGGATTGCGAAGCGTCATCCCATTGATCATCAGCCATTGCAGCCATGTCCTGGTAGGTTGGTGGCGTCCATGAATGAAATGACTTGGACTTTCCTTTTCCGCTGCGGCTGAACCGGTGGTCATGTTGGCGATCTTGTCGATGTCGAAGCTCCTTCTCGTGGATGTTCGGGTGCTGGGCAATGAGTTCATTGCAGACATCATTCACTGTCATCTTTCCAGCCAAAGCCGTGCGGATGAGGAGCTGGTGGTCATTGGAAATGCCACTCGACATCAAGACCTGCTCTGACAGGATCGCTTCCGGCAGGGCCAGCTTGTCGTCCAGGTCGCACAACATCTTGTACCAGGTCCGACGACGAAGGAGGAACGAGGTCATCGGTTCCCCGTTCTGCCGGCTCAGAATGCCGTGCGTCTGAGCTCCTGCTGCATAGAGCTCTCTGGCCTCCTGCTGTCTCCTCGGGCGAAAGGCTTGGTAGAGGTGGCGAAGCAACAACTCATGGCCGTCCTTCTCACTGAGTTTGCTGACTTCAATTTCTCGAACCACCTGCAATGCGGCTCCTGTGAGCCCATCTATCAGGCGCAAGCCCAATGGCCCCAACTTCTTCAGCTCACTAGGATCCATGGCCTGATCCCTTGCAGCACGTAGTCGCACCCTGAAGGCATATTCCTGAAGGGTCGCGGGGCTCCCATCGTAGCGAGGAACTCCCTTGCCCTCAGTGCCAGCGAGGACCGTCTCCGAGGTCTCGGAGAACTTGTGCCATTTAAGGCACTCGAGCGCCGCCATCCGCCCGGGCGCAAGAGCGTGGAGGTGCCCCCAAAACAAGGAGAAAGCTCTGCCTATGTGGTGGGGTCCCTGGGAGAACAAAGCTCCGGTGCCAATCTGAAAACAGGTGAACACCCAAGTGCAAACACGAGTGAAAAAAGCGACCGCTGCTCTTTTCCTCATAGCTTGAGCCATGGGCGTCAGGTCGTGCCCATGCGATCAGGAACGAACCGGCAGGATTGGAAGGCCAACAGGTTGGAACCGCGATCAACCCTCTTCAACATACTCAAACTCACAATATAGTGTCCGCTTCCAACTTTGCAACCAGGGACCAAATGAACCAAGAACGTCAATCTTGCAGGATCCATGCTAGTTTGGGAAGATGAGACTTGTCTCCAAACAAAGGCTGCAAGAGGCCGAAAGTGAGCTACACGTAAGGGTTCTCTGACAAATCCCGTTTGATACCTGGCTTGATGGCTTGAAGTTTAGAATCTAGAAACATCTAGGAACTATCACACTTGTACGTGGGATGTTGGAAGAAAATATCTTGCACACACTGCTCGAATCTTCTGCGAATCCTACAGCACAAGGGCCTTACTTCAAATCATATCTTGCATGAAGGAACCGAACCGCAACTCTATCTCTGATTGGCCCATGAATCGTAAGAGCTTGTCCAGCATCTCTTGCGCTGGGCCACGCAGTTCCCTTTCGTGCAGGTCCATAAGGTCGGGAAGTTCAAGGCCACAGGGTATGAAAAGCCTTTATAGAATATATATATATACATATATCTGTGCGTGCATGCATTGACCAATTTAATCAATCATCTTCATTGTCTTTTTCTATTTCTTTCTCTTGCTCTTTCTCTTTCTTCCTTCCTTCCTTCCTTCCTTCACTTATTCTTTCTTTCTTTATTTGTTTCTTTCTTTCTTTCTATTTTTTATTTCTTTATTTCTTTCTCTCTCTCTCTCTGTCTTTCTTTCTTTTATTTATTAATCTATTTGTTTCTTTCTGTTGTTCTCTCTTTTTCGTTCTTTCTGTCTGTCTTTCGACTCTGTCTCTCTCTCTCTCTCTCTGTCTCTCTCCGCACGCGTGTAGCTGCACAGTAATCCCAGTCATCCCAACTTCAATCATAGAATATGTATAATATAGTTCTATTCATCATTGGGACTTGAGGCGACAGAGGTGGACGAAAGGTAGAGGTTGGAAGATTCTGAGCAGGAGCAAGCAGCCAGCAGCCGCAGCAGCAGCAGCAAAGCAGCAAAGCAAAGCAAAAAGGTAGCACCAGCACCAGCAGCAGCAAACGAGCAGCAGCAGCGGCGGCGGCGGCGGCAGTGGCAGCAGCAGGCGCAGAAGCACCCACCACCCCTAATATCATATTGCTAAAGCAAAGAGAACTCAGGTAGCCAAGGCTACCTTTCGTGAAAAAACCACGGACACCTACGGACACTCTTCAACACCCACTTCCTTCTTCTCACCTCCCTAGAATCATTGTCTGCGCATTTACGGATGTTGAGATTTCGAGAGGGCCGTGCCGGCCGTGCCCAGTGCTCACAGTACTCACCTGTTTCCCAGTCACCCGCCTCGTTCCTCGTCCGGAGGCATCAGGCACCAGCACCTGGCGAGGAACGGTGTGCAGTGACGGAACGTCGTGTGGAGGTCTCTGAGGCTCTGAGGTCTCCGGTTTCGCCGGCATCGAATAGCCTCGTGAGGAGCAGCTGGCTAAAGCAGAGTCTTGATGCCCACTAAACAACCAGCTGGTCTGATAGGGATCAACTCCGGTTCCACTGGGTCACACTGTCCGGAAATGCGCCTAATTGTCTTTGAGGCCTCTTTGGCCAAATCGCGGACAGTGCGAAACTTCCCCATTCGTTCCTGAGCAAGACCACCTGATGGAGGAGCCCAGAACGGTCATGAACAATCGTCACCAACCGTAAGTTTCCCTAAAATTTGAGGAACCAAATGAATAGTGCGAGCGCTTCTTCAAGGAAGCTAGCTCCCTTGAAGAAGCGTATCCTGCGTCCTAGGTAGTACCATGTAGTACCTACTTTAAGCTACTTGCGACTCCCTAGCTAATACCATCTACTACCTCTTCCCTCTACTAGCGGCCTACCCCCCCTTTTATTTTGGATCCGTGATGAAAATGCCGCACCACCCACACACACATCGAGATGGGCGGGCAAGCCTCGGTACGTGAAGAAATCCAAAGCAAACGAACTGCAGAAATTAAATGGTTCTACTAGCAAACATTGTTACTACTAGTAAGGCACTTGTTGTTGTTCTGACTCCTGCCGCGCCTGCCCGGGTGATTGAGCTTTGCGATCATCACTGTGCCTGAGTGAATCGCACCAAGCCGAGACATGGGGATAACAAAGAGATATTTGGTACGCATGCGCGCGCACAAACGGACACATACTTACCTGCTGCCAAATTCAGAAAAGATTTGAAGAGTTATTTTTCCAGAGTCTTCAAGCATCTTCCTGTTTCTTCCTGTTTGATACCTGAATGTGTTTTTTGGTGCTCTTTTCCAAACACTATCTCTGAAGTGCGTTCAAATGACATTTAGAATGCGCTCATATTGCGCAACAAATGTGCTTCATGATAAGGTGCAAGGTGCTTCAGGACAACTACTCCTGTCCAATCTGCCAACTAGTGTTTGGACAAAAAATTGGGCAACAATGGCTAATATTAGGCTGGTAACCCACGGGAGCATCATGTATAACATATACTAGAAAATCCAATATATGCGGATATATATATATATACATATACTGTTACAGTGGCACTACAGTCGAAATGTAACACTCGTCAAGTGGGTTCTTGCTGTGACCATGCGAGACTTTCTGATCTTTCTGGGATAGTTCACTCTCTTGAAATGTGAAATGTGAATATATGCGACGGCCAGATGTGTGAAATTTCAAGCACAGCTCCCAAATAACTCCCTCCAACCGCCACCTGCCTCTTGGACACAAAGCCCAACTCAAGTTGCAAGGCCATGGCACTTCATTCTGCTATGTGACGTGCCCCCACAAGAGAAAGCGGAGTCAGAAATCAAAGGGCAGCATGTTGCTTCCCGTCTGGTTAGAAAGGAATGGTGAAGCCATTCGCTCTTCCCTGCTCAAAGAAAATGGTGAAAGTGCTCGGGAGGGCAAAATACATCAAAAGGACCTGAAGCCAAAGAGTTACCAACGGCTTTTTTGGGGGAAAGGGTGGAGTTCCCTTTAAACAACTGCCTCTATGAGCAATCGAGAATGTCCAAGCCTCAAAACAGGTGCAGCTTCAACAGCTTCTAAATGCCCCCTGTCATGTCCATGTTTCTTTCGCACGTGTCAGCCCAAAGGCTGCCAGAATACATGTCAGCTGCAACGTGAAAGTCTGGGCCAACAGAAGTCAAAAACAAAAAAACATATCTCGGAAGCCCGTGGACAAGCCTCCGCGAAAGCAAACGCCGGCTAATTCAACAAATTAAAGCTGCATGCTTCCGATAAATTGAGTGAATTGATGGCGTGCTTATGCTGTTGTATGCTATTCTCTGCAGCTGGATGTGTGTGTCTTTCCTGTCTTTGTCGCTGACATGCTGTTTTCTCGCCAAGGCTGGACTTTTTGGTAGTCTTGGTCTCTGCATCCAGGACCACTCCTCAATCCTTGCATCTAGACCAGCTTCGGTTAAGGAAATGACGCTGTCTTCTCGTGTGGGTTGGAGTTTTCGATGCAAAACTGGTGAGCAGATCAACACCGAAACTGACCTTCGGACTGGCTTCGCAGTGAGGCAGCACGATGGGCACAGACAAGCAGTTGGTGACTGAACTCGTTGCTACCTAGTACAGGATGAGGGACTGATCCACAGTGGTGCTTTCCCTTCAAATGGTTGGATAGGGTCATTTCCTCATCCCTACTAAGCGCCAGCTAGAGAAACAGGTGTAAACTCCAATCTGTTACGATAGCCCATCTTGCTCTTCATAATGCTCCGAGGCAGCTAGGGATGCTACAGTCAGTGTGCTCCGCAATGTTCGATTTGGGCACACCCGTCGAAGCATCAGCATAGTTCGGTGTGCACGTGCTGCACATGCAAACATGATCAAACATGTTCAGATTATCTCTTGAACAACCAGAGATGCGTTGAAACATGTCTGCTGTGATTACAAAATATTACAACTATAATCAACTATATATATATATACTGTAAGTCCATTCAACTGAACTGGTTCACTGATGCGTCATCTAATGCATCCTTGTCCCAGCAGCCACCTCCAGGCGTGTCGCTTTGCCGCTCTTTCGGAGTCTGGAAGGCAAGCACCCGGGAGTGGCCGCTCTTGCCATGATTAGCCGCTAGACGTTCAGCTGAAACAGCCACCAGGGCCTCCAGCTCCTGTGCTGACCACGTTCGGCCCACCGCATTCGGCGTTTGAACCCAGCGGATTTGACGAGCCTGGTTCGACGGCCATTCTGCCATCAGTGCAGCCAGCGGTCCAACCCTCCAGCATGGCCCAAAAAATGTGGTACAACTGACCTAATGCAAGTCATCTTTGGATCTCTACCTTCGACAAGCCCCCTCCCCCGAAAAAAATAACACACACAACTGCTTCCACCCTGTTGCTTCGACATTGGCTCGGGCTTTCGACATTGGGGGTGGCCGCGGCTCATTTCAGCGGAACTTGGCCTCGACTCTAAGGCGCAAGTAGTCGTGGGAGGAGGGACACTGGGCCGACACGGGCGCAGCATGAGCAAGCGAAGCCAAGAGCGAACGGAATCCGGTGGAAAAAAGAAGAACGGGTGGCTGGCCAGAAGACACAAAAAAAAAGGGACGCAAAGCTCTAAGTCTGTCTCCAGAGCTCCGGCCGCTGGATCTTGGCATCGCTGCTTCGTAGTGACCGTTTTTCTCTGGCCCCAACTTGGCATCCAGCGAGCCCCACAGAGATCCACTGCTTCTGGGGATTCACTGTGGGGAGAGAGCCACCTTCAAGTGCTTAAGGCTGGAACATTCGGAATTCGGAATCAAAGTTAGATCATCGAGATCTTGGCAAATCCAAAATGAAAGGTCCGACATCTTCATGATCTTCATGTCTTGATAAGAACTTGACTTGCGGTGTAGTGCTGCAGGGGATTTGTCGCCAGAAACAGGTCATGAGGCCTTAGATGTCATCAGTGGAAAGGTGTACCAGCAGAATATGCCCAACGATGTTCTTTTATTGGGTGTGCAAGTTCTAGAGCCAAGCTCCCGCAAAGGCGAAATGAAAATAAAATTCAAATCAAACCTGGGACCGCTCACGTTGCCCAAAAGCTCCAGCAATTGAAGTTAAACAAATGTAGATGACAAGTGCATCACACCGGGGTGGTGGGGGGTGTTTCCATAATGATCAAAATGGCATCACCAGCAGTCGCTTGGTCATTCTATTCTATTAATTGCTATTCCTTGCAGGCGGATGAACAAAGGACTACACGCAAAAAGACATGCCACTGGATAACAGGCTAATTCCCACTTGCAAAGCCCGCATCTTGGCGAGGAGAGTCATCTTCCCACAGGCCGTCACTGTCGACAGGGCTAGATCATTTCCATCTCTAAGACCCTTATGAAGAGGTGTTTTAACAAATCCATGGTCTGGGCCCACTTTTAAAAAACAATAATCAAAGAGTCTTACATAGAGTCCTACATTGAACCCAGAAGCTACGGAAATCGGACATCGGAGTCTAAGACGGAAGTTTGTTTGATGCTTCAGGTCCACAGTCGCGCTTTCCGGTGCCTCCTTAAAACTGAATTCGGGTCTCCAATGGCGAACCCGTCCCAGGCCGGGCGGGCGGAACTCCGGTTCCCCGGTTGAGGAAACGTTGATAAGCCTTCAAGGATGCTTCGGCCGCGCCCATGCAAATCATGCAGACCATGAGTCCTTCTCCAAAAGATATTGGTCTGTCATGAGAAGAACTATAAGACTAGACTAGACATGTGTACGTAGAATTCTTGACTGGTGTTACGGTGTAAGAGTCGTTGGGCGCATATCTGTGGCCAAGCTTTCCTGTTGGTGCCGTAAAAACATGAAACCACACACGTGGCGGCTGGAAATCCGGTGAGAAACCAAGTTGATTGAATTTGCATTGACAGTGGCCCATTGTGACCGGACAAGCAAGTCTCATTAAACCCCATCAGTTTCCTTGTCACACTCCTCTTGACGCTGACCCCAAAAATGATCCGCAAAGCTTGGCAGCTTGGCTTGTGTGGGCCAGTGCGCAGCTGATGGCAAAAGGGTCGCCTAAATAAATGCTCAACCAGCCAGATCAAGAAGATTGGGCCACTGCCTTCTATACGGTGCGTTGGGCCTTGTGCCAACCACTATTTAATAGGGCACACGACGCAACCCCAGAAATCAACGTCTCAGTCACCAGCCTCTTGGCAGAGTATGTGGGCTGTCTGCACTAAATGTTGCATTTCTTCTGGGTTTACATCGTGCCCTGCAACAGTTAGTGCATCCTGAAGAATCTCTGGAGGTCCACGTTCGAGAGATGGCAATCAGGATCTCGCGATCGCCTGGGAGGGCGAACATCGTCGGTGCCCAATCTTATATAACTTGGTCAAGAAGAGACATTCTGCAGCGCAAAATGCTCGTGAAACCCAACCCTGGCTGGTGTTTTCTCGACATCGCTTTGTCGTATGGGAGTGCTTTGTCATAATGGTCGCTTCGTAACTCGGGAGCCCATCCTTATATGCATAGTCATATTGTTTTCACACCGGTGTCATCGATTTGACAACGTGGTCATTGAATAATCCTCTTAACCGGCTCTAAAACGAAAGGGCATGAGTGCCCGGATGCATCTTTTCGGAATCAAGTACTGTAGACTATTGTGGACTATCAGGGTTTATTGTTCTGAACGTGTTTTTCGGAAACGGGTGGTTTCTCATGTTCTGTCGTTTGGTTCCCCATCTTTAGGTGAGCATTGCTCAAAAACTATCGAGAATTTGTTCTAAAGGGCTCTGTTTTTTTTTCACAAGTTCCATTCACAACACGTTCACGGCTTGCGTTTCGGCTTTTGCGCGCTGCATTTCGGCAATGGACAGTTCGCGCGCTGCATGTGTTGCTTTTGAAGGAAAAATAAATTCCATTAACCTCTCGTCAAATTGTTACTTGGGAAGTTTTGGCCGCTGCTCAGGTAGCTTTGGAGGCTGCCCATGACTGCTCCACTTCGGTCTGATCGCTTTGCACGTGAATCTCCATAATTAATGATAAGCAATTGTTAAACAGGGCACTGAGGGTAGCAACATAACCACATCAATATCAAGACTTACAATGAAAAAGTGTCAAGGCGGTTGAAAGATGTTGAACGTGCTTTGTTGTGGATCATCCATGAGTATCGATGCACCCTTTCCGTGATACCATTTGGCTGCTTTGTGATGCGGTGATGCACTTGTACTTTCAACCCCGCACGCACACGCGCACACACACTTATGGATATGCGTACTGACTTGATAGCGGTGCCACACGCCGGCCTAGGGTTCCATTTCCTAAGAGTACATGTACGAATCCCTGGGGCCTGGAGGTCGTCAAAAGGAAAGGTGGCCAAAGGCTCAAGACGAGGTCGGTCCGACAGGGTGACGGCGTTCCGTGCGTGACTGCAGCTGCACTAGCACTTTATCAAAACTTCAAAAATTGGCAGGTACGCCGAGTTGATCAGACTCGGTATCCCGTGATTGTGGTAGCTTCGTTGAGTGCGGTCCCACAATCACGCCGCACTCCCCTGCTGAAGTAAACGAAAATAATTCAAAAGAATCCCTGTGACTACAAGGGGCACACACACACGCCTCCCCGAGGGGAGGCGTAAAGCTAAGGTGAGGGCCACTGTGCACGTGTGCGCGCACAAGAGACAAAACAATGAAGACATGACAGGAGGACGAGACGGGACAAAGGTGCGTGTGGTTGAAATGAAAGGGGAACCAAGTGCACAGGGACACCCGATGAAGCCCACCTCATTGTAAAGACCTGGGCGACCTGAAACCTGTGTTTAAATGT